ACGTCATGCTTTCAAAGGTGGATTGCCCATTCCCAGCTCACTGGGCAAACATTAAGCAGGATCAAAATAAGTGAAGGCCAGAGTCTTGCTACCAAAGGGACTTCAGCCTCTCCTCCACATATAGTCCCAAACACAGAGCATTGTGTAGAAGTGATCTGCTACTACTTCAAAATACTTGTTAACACATGTGCAGAAATGTGCCACTAATATTCAAGAGGCTAAGAAAGTAATATAAACAAGTCCATATCCTTCCATTCCCAGGTAATGACCTTGTGGTTACTTCATTGTCCTGGAACTCAGGAACTCCACATTATTTTTCCAGTTCAAGATTTGCTATGTGTCACCCTGGGCAGGTTCAGCAAAGCTCTTACAAGCACGTTTGGATCTAGCCTATTGAAGAAAATATGTAAGCCTGTCCTTAAAGTGCCAACAAAATTTAATCTAACATGGCAGCACAGTCTCAATATCTCCCCCAAAAAACCAAAAACAACCAAACCTCTCCATTCACATGTCACCAAGGTGAAAGTTATTAACTGCTTCACATAAGACTTAAAGGTTTTTAAGCAAGCAGATAAGACAAAGACTATTCACTTGTTTAAACAGTACTATATTTGTCAGTATTTAGATGCCAAGACCTTCTACTATAACATCACCCATTCCCTCTTCCCTTTTTGAATATACAGGATGAACATCAGGTAAACTCTTCTAGGAGATACCCGTCTCTCCACTGGCTCTAGAATAGAGCCAGCTTCAGCTAAGCACCAAGTTCTTAGATTGTTCAGGGAACGTGAAATGAATCCTGAAGTCTATTTAACTGTTCTCATATCTTTAATTCTGAAATTTCAGCCTTAATCTGCCTTAATCTACCTCCGCTAATTGGTCCTGCTAGATCTTTTCTTGTCACCTCTGTAGAACAAAAGCAGTAGGTTAAAGTAGAGAGGGAATCACTTTTGTAGCTATGTTCAGTAAAAAAAAGATCATATCTTCCAGTCTGTACAGAAAAATGACTTAAGCCTGCTCCTTGGCAAACTGATTCTTTATTTAGTTTCCACAGTATAATTTTCAAATCGTACATGTGAAAATGCAAGCACGTGCACTAAGGATTATTTTGACACATGGTATCCATCATTTGGATTTACTAATTTTCCAAAATAAACTGTTTTGTCAGTTTCCCTGTGCATATGAATTTTTGAGTAAAGGCAACGTGTAATGTTACAAGACACATTCATGTGCTGACCTTCACAAAACGAAAACTGTTAGTAAAGCTGAAGTGGTGGGAAGCGCTTCATTTTCCTTTTGGCCACAAGACTAAAACACCCTATTTGAAAAGGGAAACTGGCTGCCACTAGCTTGTGGCCTAGTTCTACTGCCTTACATGGGTGACCTGACCGTGGAGCTGGCGTTAATGAAAGTTACCAACCCAACGAAGGGTCTGTAGAATCAGATCCTTTTGGAAAACTTGTGTGCATATGACATGCACAAACCAGGCCTATGCAAGTAGCAGTAATTGCAGTTTATTTCCAAATCTAATTCCAGAGGCTCTATGTCCCTTTAGTTTGGCACAAGTACATGCAAAACACAGACTCACAGAGCCAATTTTTGTATATTCCTTCTCATTCCTATAAGGAAAGGTCTCTACCCAATCAGCTTTTTTTTTTTTTAATGTTTTATAGCTCTAGCATATTTCCAGGTTTAAAAAAAGGGATTTGAATGTATTTAGAAATCAAAATTCCACCCCTTTTATAGGGTGCCCAGTGGCTATGGGACCTGTTGATGTTTTAACCATGGTAGAGAAGAGTTACCAATGTAAGTAATTCAAAGCTGCAGCGTGCTCCCTACCACTCTGCAGAACAACGTATCTACGGATCTTCCCTTCACTTGAATCTCCCTTTTCAAAAGGGTTTAAAACTACCACACACTTTTTCAAGAGAATTCACATGACATTAGTAAATATGCATTTTACTCATACTAAATCATGACTCACCTGTATTTTACACTGCAGCTTTTTCAGACCTCCTGCACACAATTTCCAAATGACCTCTACTTGAAAGAGCTCACAGTAACACAACTTTCTAAAGCGGCACAATCTACCTTCTAAACAGACTGAATTAACACTAACTTTTGTTTAATTTAGGCTGGTTACATAAGTGGAGGAAGTTTGCATAATCACACACTCTATCCTTCTTTCCATCTGAACAGCCATACTCTTGAAACCTGTTTTTATTATGGCAAATGCTTAAAAAGCCAGCCTTGTTCCTTCTCCTTCCACCAAAGGCACGAAGGAGCTTCAAAGAAGCAAAGCTTGACTGCAAGAAACATACTACATACAGAAACAAAACAAGAGTAAATCACCATTTCCAAAGTACCAGGAAAAAGCAAACCTGTTCTGTCAGGACTCTGTTCCTGAGATCCACCTTAACTTCCCATTCCTGTGTCAGATACAGCCAAGTCCTGTCCTCCTACTCCTTGAATTTTGCCTACATTGCTGAAAAACCTTCAACTAGCATTGGGTAGTACTGGTATCTCTCCATGAATTACATTAGGGAGGTAACATTCCCGTCTTGTAGAGTCTTCTTCGCTTCCACTTTCCTATAACTGCAGTTGTCCAGCACGGCCAAAACACTCAGAGTCTGAGAACACTTTTTGTTTTATCTCAGCTCCTGGGTACCCAGCTCCGGACAACAACATCAGAACTGTCAAGGACTTTCACCAATTTAAGTCCACGATTAGAGAATACAGAGTTAGAGACAAAATACTAACACTGAGCAGCTTTTTAACTAAGACTGTCTCACTGGACTACATGAAACCCTCCCACTGTCCTTGTGGCACAGCCTGGGGCTGCACTCCTTGTCCTCTCTTAGCAAGAGATGTGGCTGCATCAATTGGGCAGTGCAAAGCGGTCACTACTGGAGATCATCATTAATCCAGTGCATCACTGCAGCTTCCAAATACAATTCAGAAGATGCAAAGGAATATGCAATGGACTACATTTTTTTACTGCTGTAAGAAGCCCACATAGTCCAATAATACAGACATAAAATTAATAAAAATCGTCCTCACTTTGAAGCACTGCTCCTGTCTCAAAAAGGATCAAGTAAAACTACTTCTATAACTGGAAATAATTTATCTTATCAAAAGTATCTGTATACAGAAATAATGAAGCACTCCTTAAACAATATAGTAAGGCTTTGTAGCAGAAGAGAGTCCATTTTAGAAGGGCACAAAGCTTCCCACCCACAGAGCCCCAGAGCGTGGCTGCTACCATGACATCTGACTTTGTGCCTACAGAATTACATGACACAGTAATGGGGGTTAGTGTTTTCAGTTCACAGTTTCTGGCAGGATCCCCAAAGTAATTTTCAATTAAAAGGTTAGATGCTGGTACTTGTCAGATGTGAAGACATACAGTGCCATAATGATATGAAATAGCTTCCTTACAATTAAATTAATTTCATCAAGTATTTAAGTAGGGGTTGCAAATATTGTGCCTTTGGGTAACTTGACCACATACCTAAACGAAGTGCAATCATTTTCTGTCACTACTGTGTCCCACAGTGGAATACAAGCCTAGCCTTCAAGTCCTTTCAACTGAACAATTCAAATATACGTAGGTCCAACACACATTTGAATATTTTTGTTTCTATAAATAACCTGTTTCTGTTAAATTAACAAAAAAAAAAAGACATTTTTGTTTCCACTGGTGGTTTTTTTTTCCCCTGAATACGTAAACTAGCCACAAATGAAGAAACAGTGATGCTTCCAGATAATCACACAAAGATTGCCAATTTTGACTTAAAGAGGCAATACTGAATAAATTAACCCCCCTCTCGGTTAACTTTCCTCTAATCAAACTAGTTAGCAGAATTAATCCTCTTTTATAGGTTCACAGAAAAATGCTTGGGAAATGGAACACACCTGAAACAAGGAAAACACAAGAAACAATATATAGCCTGTGGGAATTCAAGGCTCAGTCTTGCCTCCAGAAAACTCACTAACAAGACCTTCATAACCTTCAGATGGGCCAGCAAGACTTTCCTAAGATTCCTTAGGCTGAACATTCACTCTTGTGAGCACTTAACTTCTATGCGTTTCAGTTTCCTCAGGTGTAAAGGGGCACTAATGATGCTTACCCTAATTTGAAATGCACTTAAACATCTGTCAATGGAAAGCATTTCCTAATGGCTGTTTTTGATTTATTTCATTTTCAAATCTGTTAAGTAAAAGAACATTTTCAAATGCTGCTCATGTTACATATCAGGATCTCAGTGCACAGATCCAACGCCTGGATGCTGTTTGAACTGTTGTGGGATTTTAAAAACTGTTTGGGACAAAAGTTTTGATTCAGCAAAGTCTTATGAGTGCACTGAATGTAAGCGATGGGATTATTCTTGTATTTAAAATTGAGTGTGTATAAGACTTACATGTTTAAATGCAGAAGTTCAGCTTGACTGCAAGAAACATACTGCATACAGAAACAAAACAAGAGTAAATCTTAATTTCTCTGTGCAGATGTGGGTGACAACCCCCCACTCTTAGCCTTATAACTTATCCTCCATTCATCAGCCAGTATGTTTATTTTTGCTATATGTGATGTGACTAGCAGAACTTAGGCAATGAAAACTTTTTAATCAAGTGAAGATCTTTGAAAGAAAAAAACCAAAGACCTGCTCCACTTTTTGGAGTGCAAGGTCAAGAGTTATATACACACATTTTGAACCCAGTTTCATTTACTTCAGTTTATAACTAAGAAGAGAAAACATTTCTTCATACAATCTGTGAAACCCAGAGGCACAAAGAGTTACTGAAATAAATAATGTTACAGTATTGTAATGTTACAGTAACAGAACCAAAACAAGATGACTATATTACCTTTAATAACCTATGTACTTATGCAGATATAACAAGTATATGTCATCTTAAACTGCAGGATAAGATCTCACAGCCCACGTGAGTAAATCAGAGAGAAGTTATTTCTATTTGACGCACAGCATTTCTCTTACCTCCAGATAAAGCCTTGCAGAAGTGTGCTTTTATACTCTCACCTATCAGCAAAGCTACAAGGTTTTCAACCTGTAGACATATGAGCCAGTCCTGTATTTCAGTACCTATCAAAAGCAAAAATTCAGAAATTAGTTTTTCTGCTACCAGGAGTTGTCCCTCAATCCCCACATTGTAAGATCTGAGTGCAATAAAAACTAATAATAACCAAAACACATATATTGCTACTGAGTAAGAGAGCCTGAAAGGTAGCAGAGATTTCTGAAGAATTAACTCACCTCACCTCAGTTTTATCAACTCCTATGAAGGGCATACAGAGAAAAGCATACATCTGTCTTCTACCAATTGCAGAGCAAAGGCACAGGACTGCAGACAGTCCTACCTTTGCAAAGCACTTCCCTAGAGACAGGCCTCCTCACAGTCCCTCCACTCTTTACTTTTACTCCTGGGAAATGCCCTAGGGAATCATGGTCCTGACTTTAAAGCACCAGCAGCATTTATTAATGTTGGGAATGAGTTACTTCTGCACTGCCAGGACTGAATAAGAAACTGGAGAAAAGATAAACCATATATTTGTTCCTGATTTGTTGTTCATCTTCCTTCTTTATTTCTCCTCATTCTTCCTCCTTCCAGCCAGAGGTGGAACAGGCTGATTTCTTTCCTGCTTTTCAGGCTTGGATAAAGAAACGTAGGCAGTTATGTGAGGTTTAAAGGACAAACAAGCATGGGGGAAGGAAGGAAAGACGCATAGAACAGAGCAGGTGATACCTGAAACTTAGAGGAGACAAAGCAGTGAAGCTGGGCCCCATGGCTTCCTCTGTGCCAGAGAGCCCTAAACAAACATGCTCCTCTTCTAAAATGCAAAGAGGAAGTCGGAGCTTTGGTAGCCTTTGGTAGCCTTTTCCATTCTGCCTCTATTAATCCCTATGTATATGTAAGACTACTTTTTCTTTTATTAAGCAAAAACAAAAATCGTAAATGGGTTTCTCTCCCCCTCGCCGTAACTTTGCCCTGTGCATGGCCTCTGCTGTGCAGCCGCGAGGCCAGCCATGCCCATCTCCTTCCAGCCCGAGAGCAGCTCCAGGAACGATGACGTGGGCCAGCCACGGGCAGGCGTTTTGGCGCTTGCCCGGTGAGGCACCCTCCCCTCACGTTGCTGCAGTCAGCGTGGCACTGGGCTGTTGATTATAATGTCCATCAAACAGAAACTGAAGATAAAGGGTTATATTTCTGTATATCGTTTTGTAAGACCATTCCAAAAGAGGAGAGAACACCACCTTGGTCAGGAGAAAAAGCTGGGAAAAAAAGGAAGCAAGTAAGCAGGAGAAAATGAGGGAAAGTGGAAAAAGACGAACTCTCGTGCTCTGCAGGTAGTAGGAGCTTGGGTCTCATGAGAGAGCAAGTGAGGGAGAGAGAGACCTAATGAACAGGCTGAGAGAGCTGAAGTTTAGGAAAGGAAAGGTAGTTTAGCAACAGTATTTGACTAGACTGAAAATGAGATAGGCAGGCCAAAAAAGAAGAGGAAAGATTCAAGTAAAATATCCTTTGGGCTTAGTAAGAATGCTGTGGGTTAAATTTAGAGCTTTTGGATTAAAATATTTTTATCAGAATTATGAGCAGAGTCAGCATCTCAGTTTATAAGGAAATTTCCATTCAGGAAATTCATAATCACAGCTTTCACTACCAATCAAGAGGAGAAGATGGGATTCTTTTTATTTTTTTAAATTGCACAGTAAGTCAATGGGTGGAAGGGCTGGTTACTCCACATAGGCATAAACTGTGGGGTATGTGAGCGCTCTAAGAGCATTATGGCCACTTTTTTTTTAAACCAACAACAAAGAAACTGCAGTTAATGCTAAAGTTGCATTCAAACTAATAAGTTCTTTATGGCTTTCCCATATCATAAAACTATGGCACTAGAAAAGGATTTTTATTAGCTATTCTGCCAACTCCTTCTTTATCATGCAGTTCATAATAACCTTGTTATTCCCACATTTCATACAGATGGCTACAGCTTCTTCAATAAGATAAAGTCAACTTCCATTAATTTTAAAATGTGTTTTAAAGCCAGAGCCAGCCTTATCAAACTCTCATTCTGTTTCCATACATATAGATTTCACTTGCCTACTTTGCCAGATTCACATAGTTTAGTTCCATATTCAGTCAATCTTCAGGGAAGCCTAAACAGCTGTGTATTCAGTCTGTGGGTTTTCTCTGTCAACAACTTTGCTATTTAATTTTAATTCTTCTATTGCAACGTCCATTTTCCAGAGCATTGCCATTTAGCAAATTTATCATTACCTTTAAACACCAAAAGGAACAGATACTATTCAACATGACAGAGGATGAAATATTGGCCTAGAGAAGTCAGCAATGTCATGTGTTAACTCAGCATGAGAAATGACGTGGGTTCTGGTCTTTGCCTGTAGAATTAGTGAATGTATGGAGCGAGCAGCTAAAATGATCAGTGGTATGCAGCAGCTGACTCATAAGGAGAGACCCAAAAGACTAGGATTTATCAGTCTAGAGGGATTAAGGGAGAATACAATCAGGAATCCCAAAATGAGGAGGAAGGTGTGAAAAATGAATGCAGAACTTTTATTCACAAAAATCCTGAAATTTTGGGGCTATTAAGAGGCACTCAATGAACGAGTAAGACAATACAGATAAAGACTTCTTTACACAGTGGGCAGTACGCTGTTGGAATGTGCTGCTGCAGGAGGTGGCAAGGACAAGCTGTATGAGCGGGATCAGAAAGGGTTTAGACAAATTCATGGGCTACAGGTCCATAAATGAATATAGGATGGAAGAGGTAGGCTGTACACACTAATATTGCTAATATAACAACTGCAGGTGCTGGGGAGCAGGAGGAGAAAGCAGCTAGGCTAACATGCACTCCCTACACAGCATCTCCTATTGCAACTGTTGGAGCCAGAGTACTAAGCTGGACTGACCCAGTAGGGCATTTCTTATCTTTTTGTTTAGATGAACTTATGAAAACAGTCACTTTCTTTAACTATTTGTTATGGAAATGTTAGCCTTGTATACCATAAAGATCAAGACAGCCACACGCAAGTCAAATTATTTGTGAAAGCATGCAGCCAAAGCAGGACGCTAGAGGAGAGGTGTGCGTGGAAATGTCAAAATGCGTGAACCTGTATTGTATATAGATTAGGAATACACAGATAAAAGCGTGGTGTTGTTGTATATAATTTTGAAGATCTGAGCAAGAGTGTTGTTCACGTTTAGCTGCAGGAACAGTGCACTGGTATATTTACAAAAAGTTTTTCACAATTCACTAATTTCCAACTGCAAACGTCATAGAAAAGAGAGCCTTCACATTTAAAACTATTTCTGTGTCAAGCCAGTATGCAAACTTTGAGACTGGAGGTTCAACAAGTCTTTAGAAAGATATAACATTGAGAAAAACATCACCATCCTTCCTGTGAGTAATTAGCATAGCAATTTCCCTGAACAAAAGCCCTTCTTTCAATAGAAGTCCTCCCAAAACCACAAGGAGCATGGAAATATATCTTAAGTAATGCATCTTAAATTTTTCAGGTTATATTACAAACACAGCTGCGCAAACGTTAGCATACAAAAAAAAAGAATTTTAGCCAATTAGCACGCGCATCACCATTTAGAAACCCCTTTGGTGTCATTTTTTGTTTCAGTCAGAAGAACTTAAGTTTCAATTGTAACTATTCCAGGATATTTTTTTTATGGTAATCCACTTTTCAAAGGTTTGAATCTACTTTACTTTCATTGAAATAAATGTTTCTAAAATGAAACATCTGGCTAAAAGAATAAGAGTTTGACATCGTTGGGCTTTAAATATCTTACATATATGAACCTATGGTGACATGCACATCAAAAGGAGAAAAATTTAAGAGAAAAGCTGTCATAGGCTTAATCCTGCCAGCAAGACAATTGTTTTTCTTCTGAAATAGGAGTATTACAGCAGCTTTCAAAGGATTTCAAAGGTACAACTCATCTTGACCAGAGAACATAAAACACTGATTGACGTCTATATAAATTTCCACACAGCATATTTATCTTCACATACTGCAGCATTCTATTGTTATGAATGGGCAATATTTATGAAAGATCCCTCTTTGAATACTACATCATTCTGATTAGACCAGGAATATGATGAAAGTTTTATTAACAAGATTTCGGCTGTGTATGTGTTAAGACAGTCCTTTTAGCAAGAAAAAATTATTATGGTTTCAAGATGCCTTCCTTCTTTGGATGCTCAGAGAGGGAAGTACTTGAGGAAGGATTTTAGCAAAGGTGTTTTTGAGAAAATTATAGATACAAATTAAACTATGAATGTGAAAGATTTTCTTTATTAGCAGGTAAAAATGCATGGTGCATCTAAATATGTGGAATAATTATGTCACTTGTGCTGCTAATTGGTGCAAAATGAGTGTTATAAAAATAAATGGTAAAAGAGTATGTGAAAATCTGGAATAAAAGTTGGCATGAAATCCCAGTCCATGAAATCTAGAATAAAAATTGGCACTGTGGAGCAGTTCTAGTTCTGTACACTGATTTGCTGGTCTTTCAGAGGGCTAATCATACAGGACCTTTAAGGAGCTTCAGGGTCTTCACTTTCAAACGCTCAATCTACTGCAGTGAAAATATCTGAAGGCATTACAGATTCTCATGTTTAACCCCAGTATAAAAAACAAAACATCATGTAGTTTCTACACGCTCCTTAAAACACTGCCATCCAAGTGATAAAAAAAGCAGAGTGTCTTAGGCTCAAACAAGAAATGATGAAGCTCCTCTATAGGACTAGAAGAAATCTTTTGAGTCATAGTATGCTTTCTTGTGGAAGAAGCTGATGCTGTGTAATTCCTTCAATAAACTGATTCAGCTCCAGTTATTTCTTCCTAGTCCCATTATGCTTATTCCAGAACCTGGCTCTTCTGTTAGCTAGAAATCTAAATTCCAGCTCTGATTTCCTCAAGGCCAGTTTATATTGATTTGTTTGTGTTGCAGGATTGTCTTTTAAATAGCACTACTTTTCTGGTATTTTCTCCCACGGATACATTTATAAGTCACATCTTCTCAGATTTCATTTCATTTTGCTAGGCTAAATAAACCATGCTGCTTTAGTTTCTTCTTGTAGATATGCTTATCATTCCCATGATCCTGGTAACTAGTCTTTGGACTTGTTGCAGCTTGAGTTCCCCTTTTCTGAGCATGGAGAACAGGAGTTGTACATGGTATTCAGAAAAAGTTTTATTGTGCCTTGTCCAGCATGAATACTTTCATATTTCAATGGGGAATGTTTGGTGAGTCTTGAAGCCTGTTTGCCCTTTTGTGCCTGGATCATATTGCTGGCTACTAGTTATCCTGTGATCACCTAATATACCCAGGTCTGTCCCTTCCTCTGTTGTTTC